TGTGATCACCTTCGGCGAATTTGTGTCGCCTTGTGGACCTTCTTAAAGCTGAGATGGTTAGGGGGCGATGGAGCAGCCGTTGTACCGTCCTCGTAGCAGTCAGCTAATGTATTCAGGCAAGCTGGCTTCACTTCCTAATCGACTGACGATGACAGGTTGGCGTTGGTTTCAACGCTATCGACTTCTTCATAGTTGACGAATGTAACCCTTGCAACCATCTGGATGTGGTCCATGCAGCTAAATCCTTCATGATTTCAACTTGCAAATGGAACCAGTTTTCATCCACAGCCTTATACAAGTTGTTCCAGAATGTGCATACTGTTTAATCCTTAATAACTCTCTTGCTTTGATGTCTTTCGGCAAACTTTAAGTACTTTTCCAGAGCGAGGGACTTACAAGGGAACGATCCCAACTTAAGGCGGCGAATTGGTATGAATTGCAAATCATTGGATGCGTTTTGATGAGATGATTCCAAATCTACCTTTCTTATCTGAGGAGCCGTTCTCTGCAAAAGGTTATAAGCGTTTGAAAATGCGAAGTCATTGGGGCAATGCTTAATGTCCTTCAAAGCCAACTTTAGAGTGTATGACTGGCATGATTTTGAGTGTACTGATTTCAATGAATGCTCACATTCAAGAGGGAATATAAATAAGTGTTTTTGAACAACTAAAAAGCAACTAAAAGTTCGTTAGTAAAAGCTATGCAATGAAAAGTACAAATTTGGTAATAATACAGCGAAATACCTCGAGAATTAGTTGTTCAAAAACACTTATTTGTATTTCTCCTGAATGTGAGCATTCCTTGAAATCAGCACACTCAATATCATGCTAGTCATACACTCTAAAGTTGATTTTGAAGGACATTAAGCATTGAAACCCAATGACTTCAAACGCTTTGCAGAGAACGGCTGCGCGGATATGAAAGGTAGATTTGAAATCACCTCATCAAGACGCACTTAATGATATGCGGTTCATACCAATTCGCCACCCTAAGTTGGGATCGTTCCCTTGTTAGGTTTACAGTATAGAGCGAATAAGCTATCGCTTTTCGCTCTTTAGAATTACGGTAAGAACTTCCACTGTATACAACATTGTGGAAAAAGCCAAATTTTTTGAAAATATTCTGAAAAATTGTGTAAAAGAGGTGTCACGCATGCTGTTTTCACTGGACAACTTTCTGTGAGTTTTGGTGTACTTTTGTTTGTAATCACTTCTCATTCACATTTTCGACGAACATCAAAGGAACAAATGTTACGTTATACCTGCAATATCTTATAAAAGAGCAGTACCATGAACTATAAATTTCATATTTGAAATCTGCGACTTTGTTTAGCTCTGTATAAGAGTTTTTGACTTTTTTGGTCTTCTTTCTGGAGCAAAATATGGCTGTCAATGGCCTAAAATCTATCTCAAAATTTCTATCCTAACGTGCATAATGAAGGACTGATTTGCTCTACACTGTGAATTTAAGTTAAACCTCGCTCTACAGGATAGTACCTAAAGTTTGCCGAAAGACGCGGTATCTCTAATTCGCAAAAGTCAGGCAGTGAGCGGTGTTCTGGCGTTGCAGTCATCGCCTTCATAATCGTGATACTTCTTTAATGCAAACAACGAAATGTGGCACGGCACTGATTAGCGGAAGAGGTTGGTCTAGAAGTTGATCGAGATAAATTCTTCTCTTGTCAGGAAGATGTTGGATGTTTTCCATCAGACCGCCGGCGGGAGGCAAGGCGCGGCACTCTCATCTCAGCTCTCAGTGCAAGCTTATACATGTTTTCTCCTGTTTTCCACGTTGTTACCTGCTATCTCTTACGTCAGAACAATGTACGATTTTGATTGAGCAGATTTATCTGTTGTTCTCAATATTTCGACTCTGTTTCCAAGTACCCTAAAGTCTTGCAGATAAGTCCGCCTTTTTGACACGAAAAATCGATGAAGAATTGCCCTCGCGCCGCCAAAAGTCTTGCAGATAAATCCGCCATCAGATAAGTCTGCCTACAGGTTAAGTCCGCCATCAGATAAGTCCGCCTACAGGTAAGGGAAGAGGAGAAGAGGAGTATTATTTTCGAGTCAAGAAATCTCAAATGTAGTCTTATATTTTACATTACCGAAAAGAACGCTTTCGCTAAAAGTATAATAAAAGAAATCCTTCTGCTTTTCATCCGAGAAAAGCGGGCTTATCTCATGGCGGACTTTATCTGTAGGCGGACTTATCTATAGGAGGACATAACTGATGGTGGACTTATCTGAAGGCGGACTTATCTGATGGCGACTTATCCGCAAGACTTTAGGGTAAGCTAACTATGCAGGTGGATAATCGAGGATAGAAAATTACTAAAGTAACAGTTCAACACATATTCTCACCAAGAAAGGATGTACAAGCAAAAGTTACTAACATCTTCTAGCTTACCTGAACCTAACAAACTGAGCTTAGAAATTGAGAAACATTGCTTAACAACAACAAACTTGTCAATTTCGACCAATTGTTGAAACACACAGAGTAGCGGTAAACAAACAACAAGAAATAACACCAAAAAAACATTTGTAGTTCCGAATTGAGGGCTGAGGGTGCCGCACTCTGCGCAGCCTGTCTGCCCTACAAATTCAAATTCGAATTCATCCACTACAGTCTATTAGTTTGAGGAGGACTAGGTACAATCTGTCCCAATTAAACCAGCCCAAAATTGGCATATCGGGAGTCGCGTCGCTGGAGTTTTGCGTCACGTCTGCGGCTTGCTTGCCTGCTCTCTCTTCATTCTGTCCGCTCTCCCCGACAGTGCCACATGCAAGACCTCGAGCGTTGTAAGCGCTCAGATCTAGGCGTTCGGCCTGATCCCGTTTGGGGCAGACTCTACCTCGTAGTGCTTTTTCAAATTTGCATCTGCAAGCAGGGGTTTGGGAAATCCTAGGCCTAGATTATACAAGAAAAAGTGTAATGCGGAGAAATATATAAATTCACAAGGAACTGTCTAAAATACAAGCATTCGCCTTCATATGATCGGCAAATTCTGCATAAGACGTTTATAACGTTTTGAAAGTCCTCTGGTTTTGGTACAAGCAGTTACTTTCTTCCAAAAAAGTTTCATGCACATTTTGCCCAAAGTAAATGACGAGTTTATATCTAATCCTATGTATATAGCAGAATAAAAACCCATACCGAAAATATATTAGGTTGCTGCATAAGTTTTGTCCGATTTGAATTTTCTGAGTTCAAAACGTCGTAACTTCTTTCAAAGTCAACTTTTTTTTTCAAAAACTTAGGTTCTGTGTGTTGAGCAGTTCTTTGGCTATGGAACACATATTGAGATCTGCGCAAGTCCTTGTTAAGAAAGAAGCAAGAATGCAAAAACTTCACAGCGTTTTTCTTCAGACCGGTCTTTTTTGACATGGCAACGCTCCCTTACGAGAATTGATGAACATCTTGTCTAACAATGGATAGATAGAGAAATTTTCGTAGATTATTATGCAACTTTAAAGAGCCCATAGGGTCTGCGCTGCCGAGAGATTTTCTCGACCAAGCAAAAACGAAGCCAATTTTTGACCTCGCTTCAGCACATGTGCGCATGCCTATTTACGAATTGTGAAAATTTTACAACTGACGTGAGCGCCGAAAAGGAACTGGTGGATGGGGCCTGCTAGCTCTTGCTTTGCCCTAGCACCTCCAACTTTGAACTTATCGATTACTTCTATTCCCAGAAAGTTTTTGCTTGTAAAACATCTATACAAAAATTAATGTTCAACGATAGATTTTACTAACAAAACGATTTCTTCATGGAACCGAACTTCTGCATATACTAGGCCTCTACACCCCTATTCCGCAGCCAATGAAAGAACTTGATTTGAAGGGAGCATTGTGGAGATTTCCTCGCAAGAACATATATTTAGGGTGAAAACACACCTCGGCCACTTAGAGATTTTAGGCCTGAAATCTCCATACACCAAGAAATTTATTGAAATCTGATATGCATCAAAAGGAGCAAGGAAAGATCTTTCTAATGATACTAACAGCACTGCATCAGAGATGAAATTCTCTTAGAACAGCTGCTTCAAACATAAGGCAAAAAAATCGGACAGAACTTATGCAGCAACCTAATATACCAAAGACCTCAAAAAAGATCTAAGGTCCGTGAAGTACCTCTGACTTACGCATTCCATGGTACTTCTGGTGTAGTATTTTTTACATAAGTGTGCTTATAATTTTGTTTAAGTTTAAAATATGAAAGAGATCAGACAAAGAGGATAAGCTGCTCTCCCTTTGTAAAATGTTCGACATAAATAACAACGACTTTGAATGCATTCGCCACTTAACCGGAGATCGCTGCACAACGCCTTTTCGCGAATGCGTTGTCTTACGGAAAAGGGCACGTAATTGACACAAACTGTGAACTTGTTGGGATACAAAACGTATCCCAAAACCATGCAATAAATATTTGATGGTTAATAACTCTTTGCAATAGCAGTTGAAATTCCAGAGATCATAATGTAGGGCTGGCTTCAACTTAGAATTGCAGAGGAGAACACCGATTTCTGCTTTTTTGTGCCATCGCTGTAGGAAATAATAAATGTCCTGCAAATTAAGTGCCATTTCAAGAAATTTTTGAAAGCAGTGCCTTCTGTGGCCTGTTTTCAGCCAGATGATTCGAAAAAAAATTTGTGCACGTTCGTGAAGCAGTTATGGCTGTCGGAACTTCTCTAATGGTATAATTGTTTGTAACTTACGGACCATCACTATGGATTGCAATGCATCAGCAAAATCTTCAGCTTTTCCAAATAATCACTGGAGCTATACTTGCTTTCAAAGATGCAAAACTCTTTTGAAAGTTCTTACCGTAATCCTACACTGATAAAGAGGTAATTTACTTTCTCGAAATGTAAAGGTAATGGAGCGCGCGAAGGCGGTTCAGAACATTCGACATATTTTTTAGGTCACGAGTGCTTACAGTGTGTGAAAAGTATAGTTTGTAATATTTATTGGTCGTTGCAATTAACAACAATAAATTAGCGCATTATTCAGATTGAGTCTCTTCGGATTTCTTATCGGACTTATCGGATTCCTTCTCCGTGGATTTGGAATTCTTCTTGGATCCGGACTCGGACTTATCGGATTCCTTCTCCGTAGATTTGGAATTCTTCTTGGATCCGGACTTCTTATGGCCGCCCTTCTTTCCCTTCTTGTGTCCATCTTTTGGCTTCTTGGGTCCATCTTTTGGCTTTCCGCCATTTTTCGCCTTCTGCAGAGCACGATGACGTCGGCGAGCGTGTGCGGCGCGTCTGGCATGGGAACGGCGGAGCGCAGCGCGGAAACGTCTTCTGACGGATGCGCGTTTGTGTGCGGCTCTCTTCTGGTTGCGACGGTGGCGGATACGGTGAGCACGGCGCTTGCGGCTAAGACGACGATTGCGACGAGCCTTGGCAAGCCTGGCATTTCGCTTTTTGTTGTTTTTGCTTTTCTTCGGTTTCAGGAGTGCAAACAAGTCTGGGGCTCGCTTCGATCGTACAACTGTGGTTTCGGGTTCGGCAACAACCTGAGAAAACAATTTTTTTACCAGGGAAAAGCAGGGTTAAATACTGCACTTACTAGGTCCTTATCGGTTTCGGCGGGAGCTGTCTTAACAAGGGGTTCGGTAGCGACTTGGGTTTCGGCAACGTCTGGCTTAGTCTCGACCTACAAATAGAATTTTTGTTGACAGGTTTCGGATGGGAAAACTATGAGTTCAGTACCTCTCCAACTACAATGTCTTGTGCAGCTACATAAACTACAAATAGCCCAAGTGCAGCAAGTAAAAGACGCATCTAGAAAGGAAACATGAATATCACAGTCATATTCAAGATTTTGCAAGGATTCGAAATTGGAACAATATTTTGGCTATTCACAAGGTTCATAATACTTGTATGGTGAATTAAGGATTCTGTGGGCTGTAGAAATCACAATCGTCGCAAGAATACTGTAAATACTAAATGTACACCAATATAGCTCGTCTGAAGAAGCTAAAGCGTGTTCTAAAGAAGCTTTCAGAGATTTCTTTGTAATGCAACCAACCCACGCTGCCTTTGACATTCTTGTAAAAAAAGCGCCCAAATGAGACGCTTTGGCAAGGCTCCAAAGGCAGCGCGAGGACGCGAGCGGCTCGCATTGCGGACCTATGGGAAATTGGAAAATAGCCATGAACAATGGATAAATTATAATTCATATGGAAATTGTAGCTTAGAATATCGAGAAAGTGTTCGAAGAATAAAGTCAAGAAACCGATAACAAGACTTATTGAAAATTTGTTGCCCTTTTCCAGAGATTTTCAAGCGTTATAGTGAAAAACAGTTAAACGGGATGTGCATATTTTTCTGCACACTATCAAAAAAAGTGATGTAGAAATTTTTTTGAGGAAATAGGTAGTACAAAAATAGGACGAAAAAAGGATTGGTTGAAGGGACAACGCCTTATATAATCAAGTTAAATGTTTTTACTACAAGCTTTAAAAGGCTTTTTAAGCTGATGATGCACTTTTGGGATGCTTATGATGATGTTGCAAGAAAGCGAAATATTTATATAGGCCGTCATGCGCAATCAGGAAATATTTTAGAGATTGTTGCAGGTGATAGCCTTGTTTCTAGCCGTCCAAGAACCAGAATATTCGGCTAAAACGGGATGTCCGTTAGCCCGCTAAATCGCACCTGTTATATATGCGTTAGACGATGCATCGCATAGCCGTAGGTATAGAGTTTTACGCAAAAGATGATTTGGACCTTCGATGAACATTGGGCTTTGTCATGCCACAGTGTAATCTCGTCTTACATTACGGATTTGGTATTTAAGTAGCTGCTAAGAAAAATCTGGAACAGGATTATTAGCTTGGGTTCCCTTATTTTACATTAGTCACTTATTAGGGAATTCAGCTTCCATAAAAAGGGCCCTATTCTAAGATTTTTTGAAAGAGACTTTCTTTCAAATTTTAAGTAAACAATTTAGATTTCGTAGTATAAAAGCCACAGTCTTTACTTTAATCAGTAATTGAAGAGCTTCTCAATCAGCACTCTTTATCATTAGTGGAATTAGCATAAAATGTGAGCCCTGTCCAAAATTTTGTTCTTTTTCAAAATTTTTCCTTGTCCTTTTTGAGGTTTTGGTTGATTTAGTTTAGATTTCGGGCTTCTCAAACCGCACTGCCTTTTATTCAGTAAGATTGAGAATTTCCCTCTTAACTAACGGCTCTCCATTTTCCTTAAGCTAGCAAAATCGAAAGAATTTTTTTATCAAGGCTTTCCACCCTTGTTTAACTTGGCAGAATCAGATAAAAATTTTCGTTACTAACACTCTCCACCTTCATTCGGCAGGCCTGCGTAATTTTTTTTTGATCTTCTAAAATTTTATATGAACAGCTTATTAACCCTATTTTTCAACAGCCTTTGCGATACCGACAGGATGGTGGTCTTGAAAACCCATTCCAGCTTTTAGCTAGCTCCATAGATGATTGTGAAGCAACTAGATTCTTGCTAATTGCAAACATATCCATGCCTCTCTTTTGCTATTGTTGTTCACTCCACCCTCTTTGCATTTGTAATAGATCGCGCATTTTGAGCATTATTAACATGGTAAGCTTCTATTCTAGGCAGAATCTAGTTTAGCTCAATAATGAAGTACGATTTTGTTTGGCTTTGGCTCTGCTATTCTTTTCTGAGGAGTCATACGTAAAAATGAAAGCTTTGATTAATTTTGATCGCTTAACCTTCTAATCCTTCTCTAGGGGAAAAGTTGTTGGAAGTGTAAACTTTGACTAAATTTTTGATCAACTCTAAGAGTAAAACCTAGCACAAGTTTTTCTTACTCTTTTGTAATCTGAATATCCTTATTTTAGATGAAAAATTTCTTATGCACCTTATGTGCTCTACTGCCACTTATGGCAACTGTAATGGCAGAAGAAGAAGCCAAGACAGCTTCAGTAACACTCAAGGTAAGAATAAGTTGGAAATGGTCGTGATAAAGACATTTCAGATTTTTCCAGGTGGAGATGAGTGACGATTCGATGAAAGTGCTAGAGGGAGTGAAATCGCTGAATAGAAGGGAGCGAGATTTGGTAAGTTTTGGTCATTTCTTCATTTGCTTAGTTTGAGGTTACAGAAGTCATTTTAAGCTAGAAAAGATGGCAGCAGAAGACGAAGCACGAGATGTGGAGCCTGTGCGACCGAAACGAGAAGCTCCCGCCAATCCTCTTCTTGCTTTATTAAAACCAAAAACTGCACAAACGCAGGTAATTTTTCACCTACAGTTGAACCGGTTTCTTTGCTAATGTGTGCAGTTGCACATTTTCCATTTTGAAGTTAGTCAATGTTTTCTTGTTTGTTTTTTTTTGGTTTTTCTCGTTGATATTGGCTTAGGCGGGACCTTGTGCAAATTATCAGAGCTGGAAGGTCTGCTCCCCATTGCCTACTTCTCTGAAAATCTGTAATTGCACACAATGGAGAGGAACCTTATGCTACGGCTATACTCACACAATAACTTAAACCTAATTTTTAGCCCAGTAAGGACGTCATACGCGCTAGGATCCAAAGACGACGCAAGAGGCTTCAAAAAATACGCAAAGCACGAAGAGCCAACCGTGTTCGCCGAAACAAGCACCGACGAGCCGTAGCTAAGGCTCGGCGTCAAGCGAAGGCTCGGCTACGTGCTCGCTTGATCCGACAAATTCAGAAGGCTAGAATTCAACGATCAAAGCAGAGGGCCAACGAGGCTAAGCTAGCTGATCAGCTCAGCAGAGAATGATCTATAGGGTTAGTAGTCATGCAGATAACATAGGCTTTACAAATTTGAGCAATAAAGTGTTATATTTAGTGATTTTATGTGCGATGTTTTCAAAGCCTCTCCTCAACGACAAAATGCGCATGTTTCTCCGAAGAGTTAAAATTGCCGTCTTCATTCATCTGTTGGTAAGAAGGGTTCGTGTTTGTGGGTGCAACATCAATAGAGGAACATTTTTTGGTATCGTTATCTCCCCTGTCCCATTTTTCGCCTAATGCCTGGGAAGTGTTCACGCGATTTCATCGTCTTGCGATTTTTCTTAACAAAACAGTTGTTACGAGTCCATTGCAAGCCGACCTTCCTGTATTTCGGTTACGATAGTTTTCCAGCACCACTAGTGGGACTAACTATCATAACCGAAATGCAGGGTAATCGACATGCAATGGAACCGTAACAGCTGTCCTACTGGAAGAGTCGCGAAGCGATGAAATCGACATCTATGTAACATAAGATTTAACACTAGAAACCTCCTGATATGGCAAATTTGCAGAAAAAATCATTCTTATTTTCTCATTTTCTCGAAGAAGAATGGTGGCGTTGGAACTTCAATTATATTGCGTGCCAAGGGTTTACAGATCCTGAAGCAGCAAACACCGGCATTACCTTTGTGGAGGTACCTAAATTTTTCAGATGGAAGACTTACTGAACAAAAAAGAGAAATAACAAGTAGCACCAGCAAAAAAAGAAGAAAATAGCCATTTCAATTTGAAAAATACAAAAGAATATATGTCGAATTTGTTGAAAAGTGTTTCCTTTCCGGCAAACTGATTTATACACAGAAAAGACTGAGTTAAGCTACGTCGAGAAATGTGGTGGTGTAGGAGTGCCGTAAAGTGGTTACAATGTGTGATAGTAGTTTGTTTAATAAGAACATTCTACAAATTCCAGATCAACACCTTTTCATGTGCCGACATTGAAAAAACTCTCATTTTCACTGTAGTTCGACTACTGCAAATAAAAACAAAAATTAATGAGCTATGGCGGTCCTCTGAATAAAAGTGTTTCAAAGATTTAATACAAAATGATGTGAGAAACAATGTCAACGTGCTTGCCGAGATCTATGCAGTTTTATCTCTTGCACTTCAAAGGATGATGTTGCACAAAAGTGGGAAAATAGTGAAATCATACGCAGAATTACTTTTATAATAAAACATCGTATTTCGAATTGCTTTCCAACAAAATTTTTTTGTGCTGAAAGCAGAGGGAATGTCAAGGCATTTGCACTAAAGGATTCTTAACAGGCCACAAATGCCACCTCGAGTCAAAATAAGGTATAAATGAGCTTAAAGGAACTGAACAATTTTACTCTTGATTACTCAATCATAAGCTAATTCTTGAAAGGAATTTGGTTTTTCAAAACGACTAATGGTTTAAGATCCTTTAATTTGTTTGGAATTCTCAAGAAAATTATTGATCTATGGAATTTTTCGGAACCTTCGTTTGAATAACCACGCCATAACTTTCAAAAAAAATGAACAGCGATACACGCTTTCTACATGAGCTCGAACCTATTTCGGTTCGATAACACACTTTTTATTAGGTTGTCAAGAAAATAATGTCGGTTTTTATTTGCTTGCTTTAACAAAGCAACCAGACTCAACCCAACAAAGGATGAGGGGTACTGTTCGATAGAGCAAAGCAAGCTCTACAAGAAGGCACTCATGTCTTTGCGCCATGCTCTATCCACGGAGAGTTCGAACTCAAAATCTAAAGATTTCCAATTGCCCAAAAAATCGAAAAAAATCAGATCTTTGTCCAAATAATTTTTACGGACCTCCCACTCGCTCACATCAATACTATCGATATCTGATATCCATATGTGCGATTGCCGTATTTTTTTCTTGACTAGAAACTGAGAAAACGAAAATTTCCCTGATTTTCTCAAAGCAATTCTGAGCCATTTTTGCATATGTAGTTCTATACTACAAGCCTAGGTAAGCATAACTGCAGGTTTTCAGCCCATTTCAAGCGGTACTTTTCGAGAAATGTCGATTTTAGCACTGTAACTGAAACGAAAAAAACCGAATTCGTTATTTTTCGAAAACTACCGCTTGGAATGGGCTGAAAATCTACAATTATACTTATCTAGGCTTGTTGTATAGAACTACATATGCAAAAACGGCCCAGCATTGCTTTAAGAAAATCAGGGAAATTTTCGTTTTCTCAGTTTCTAGTCAAGAAAAGAATACGGCAATCGCACATATGGATGTCAGATATCGATAGTATTGATGTGAGCGAGTGGGAGGTCCGTAGAAATTATTTGGACGAAGATCTGATTTTTTTCGATTTTTTGGGCATTTGGAAACCTTTAGATTTTGAGTTCGAACTCTCCGTGGATAGAGCATGGCAAAGACATGAGTGCCATCTCGTAGAGCTTGCTCTGCTCTATCGAACGGTACCCTTTACCCTTTGTTGGATTGAGTCTGGTTGCTTTGTTAAAGCAAGCAAATAAACCGACATTATTTTCTTGACAACCTAATACATCTAAAATCGACATCTCTAGCAAATTGTAAGAAATCTCTCCGAACTGATCATGCATTCTGACCTATTTGTTGTGTAAACTTTTATCCATCGAACAATTGGCCTCGATGGGAACTAGTGATTCCACTGAGATATCAGAGTGTGGGCTTCTATTGTACGAAAGCATGGCCAAAATCAGATCTTGCAAATCATCCAGATTTTCCCTCAACATATTCGTACTCCAAAGTTCTGTCTTCGTCATAGAATTGGAACTCTCCCAACATTTGCAACGCTTTTTCTCCATAAAAAACATGCACCTCATTGCAGAACCGGACTTTGCAAATCTCGGCACAGGTGAAACTTCCATTCCAATATCGCGTTCCGATCCAGATTCCGAGACTAAGTCGCAATAAATGACTCGCTAACACTTGATAGGCGACTTTTCACGTCTGATGGCTAATTGGTCTGCACCGGATTTAGGGTGTTCGGGCGAGATGTTCTGATTCGAAAGAAAAATTCTGCACATCATGCAAAAAAGTATCCTTTGCTGATATAATTGATCAAAAAGAACTCAAACCAAAGTGTCATGTGGCGCTAAAAAGACCTCCAGCATTTCATCCGGCAAAAAGGTTTTGCTGGTCAAATTGCCTACGGTTTGGAGCTGCATTTGTAGAACATCTTCAAATCAAGGGAAGCAAGGACGCAAGACTATACTGGCCCTTAATCACCGTTAGAAATGATCCCGAGTTCCTTTATTGTGAAAATTGTAATCTATCAGTTAGCCACTGTGACGTTTGTTTTCTGTAGTGGTCTCGTCATGTGGTCAGTGAAACTGTCTAAAACGTATGTGATTTGATGGATGTTGCTGAAAATGTTGTACGAAGTTCTCGAACGCGATCACTCCCAACAATGGGCTGAAATAAGTAGCATCAGTGACACTACAGTTGTGACAGTGGAATCGGCGAATTCGCCGAATTCGCTGAATTCGCCAAATTCGCCGATGTCGCCGATGTCGCCGATGTCGCCGAATTCGCCGATGTCGCCGATGTCGCCGACTTTGCGTCTTTTCGTCATAACTCCCTTCGTGCACAATGGATTTCAAATTTGAAGCCAGATTTGGATTCAGCTCGCCGAGACAAATCTTTTCATTTATTGAACTGCTGTAATCGGCTCGGTCACGGTAAGTGCATGGTAAGAATCCGTTGCATCCTGTGGTGGTGTTTTTTAGAGTGTGTATTTCGGCGCATAATATAGGCAAAGGTTTAAGAGAAAGAGCGTTTGATGGAAGAGTTTCTGCTGAGTGTTTCCAGCAGAAAACCATATCCTTTTCTGCAGTGGAAAAAAGAGAAAGGAGTACGTGAACTTAGTAAATATACATGAACCACTTACCGTCAAACAAACATAACTATACAGTAACACTATGATTAGCAAAACAATTATAATCTCTGTAGCATGTCTTGTTGCTTATGTGAGCAAAGTGACACGCCGCTTAACTATGATATTCTGCTTCCAGCAAAACTTCCTTTTTTTGCAGACGCCTCTTTGCAACGCTGTGGGCCAGCACCTTTCACACTTAAAAGGTTCCGGTGAGGCGAATCGGAAAGAGTTGTTTCCGTAGATAATCCAACGGTGAAAAGTAGACGGAGACACGCTTTATAGAGCGCGAAAAGAGATGGTGAATTCTGCAAAAATCACGCGCCTTCAAATTCTACTCGCCATAACTTCCTCCGGAATAAGTATATTCTGAATCCGAAAACGGTGCTGTGCTCAGCTCATCAAGGCGAATCTTTTGGTATACAGCATGTCCTTGATATCTCGATTTCAGTATTCTTGAACTTTTCTGCGGACGTCTCTTCGCGAAGGTGTAAAGCAGCGAGCATTGTACCGAGTAGGTTCCAAAAAAACCGAAAAAAATTCGAAAACCTCTATAAGCGAAGTTTCCTTACAATTCAAGAGCATCAACATTTTGACCAAAATCCATCGGCGAACTTCCAAGAGCGTAAAACGAGAAAAAATGAAATAACCCGACTCGGAAAACTTGCTCATAGAGGTTATTCGACCTGCTGACTACGATAATCACATCTGCTTAGCAATAGAGCATCATATTCTATGGCTATGGCGAGTAGAATTTGGGACGACAAGATTTTTCCACAATTCACCAGTTCATCTATTTCCTTTGAAAAGAAAATTGCGGCTGCTGTTTAGCGCATCCTAATCTGCAGAAAAAGTACTATCAAAAGGTCCCTGCTGGAATCTACTCGGGACAATGCTCGCTGCTTTACACCTTCGCGAAGAGACGTCCGCAGAAAAGTTCAAGAATACTGAAATCGAGATATCAAGGACATGCTGTATACCAAAAGATTCGCCTTGATGAGCTGAGCACAGCACCGTTTTCGGATTCAGAATATACTTATTCCGGAGGAAGTTATGGCGAGTAGAATTTGAAGGCGCGTGATTTTTGCAGAATTCACCATCTCTTTTCGCGCTCTATAAAGCGTGTCTCCGTCTACTTTTCACCGTTGGATTATCTACGGAAACAACTCTTTCCGATTCGCCTCACCGGAACCTTTTAAGTGCGAAAGGTGCTGGCCCACAGCGTTGCAAAGAGGCGTCTGCAAAAAAAGGAAGTTTTGCTGGAAGCAGAATATCATAGTTAAGCGGCGTGTCACTTTGCTCACATAAGCAACAAGACATGCTACAGAGATTATAATTGTTTTGCTAATCATAGTGTTACTGTATAGTTATGTTTGTTTGACGGTAAGTGGTTCATGTATATTTACTAAGTTCACGTACTCCTTTCTCTTTTTTCCACTGCAGAAAAGGATATGGTTTTCTGCTGGAAACACTCAGCAGAAACTCTTCCATCAAACGCTCTTTTTCTTAAACCTTTGCCTATATTATGCGCCGAAATACACACTCTAAAAAACACCACCACAGGATGCAGCGGATTCCTACCATGCACTTACCGTGACCGAGCCGATTACAGCAGTTCAATACATGAAAAGATTTGTCTCGGCGAGCTGAATCCAAATCTGCCTTCAAATTTGAAATCCATTGTGCACGAAGGGAGTTATGACGAAAAGACGCAAAGTCGGCGACATCGGCGACATCGGCGAATTCGGCGAATTCGGCGAATTCGCCGAAATTTTTCACATTCCACTGTCACAACTGTAGTATTGTTAGCAAAAACGACTGGAAAAATCAGTCATTTGATTGGGAGGTTGAGATGTCTATGATTGCGTCGACCATTCTTTCGAATTGTCCTTTCGCTTTGCGATTGTTTGTGGTAGTGAATTGTTTACTGAAAGATGAAAAATGGTTGATTCTGAGAATCATCTTACAATTAGTTGCATAGTTAAACACGGTACAAAACGATTTTCTCTAACATTTTATGTTTGACAATTGTATCGTTGATCAGGTCTGTTACAGCAGTAATTGCTGTCTGTGATTCAAGCTTCCAGTACGGGTGATAAGTGCCGAAGGCTCAAACGTTAATAGAGATAGATATGTGTACTTTTAATAATTCGAAGTGAAGGACCCATATGTCAGAGAGAATCCAAACATTCGAAAGTTTTCAGACAACTGAGAATAAAGCTGAGGTGACTATCTACATAAAGAAATTGCTCTGTTTTTCCGCCACTTTCGTCTTCAAACTGTAGACAAAAAGTCGCTTTGTTTAAGAATCGCATTCCAGCTTCAATGTAACGATTTACACGTTTTGAGCATTCCTAATCTTCAAAATTTCATTTTAGCTCTTATTTCCGGCTCATGATGTTGAAGCTGTTGACAGAGTAATTTCAGTTATTGTTTCTCAAATGTAGACCCTATCAGGTCCTTTACAGTAATACACTAGGTTGCTGCATACTATCTATTATCCGTTGCCTTATGTTCGAAGCAGGTGTTCTTAGAGATTTTCGAGCTTGATGCAGTGAAATTTCATAGTTTCGGCACAGTCCAGCGCAGGCGAGAACTGTGCTGGAACTGTTCCGGAACTTCCGGTTCAGTGTGAACCCAAGCGAAACCACCAGCCTTGTCCGGACACTGCCTTCAGAGGCTACTTCGAGCGTGATTCTTTCGTCTATCAGGTCTACCTGATTCGTACGAATTTCATTAGGGGACTTCCTTATTGGGCCAATGTCCATGTCTCATTCGATAGGCCTATAACGAAAGAATCACGCTCGAAGTAGCGCGTTTTGGATGATTTGTCGGTTTCTTGTTCGCGTTTTATTTATTCAAGCGATGCCTTCTTTTCTGATACCGAGGCCAAAGCTAGATAGAGCAGGGATTTTTCCACCCTGTTCCTACGGGACCTTCAAAGAACGATTTCGGGATTTTCACACGAATTCGAAAGGATAGGGTCGCATTGGTTTGAGAACCTTGTCCGGACACTGCCTGAGAACGCTTGCAATTCGCGAAATCCCGAGACCCAAATTTTGGTGGGACACTGTCTTTAAGCAGCTTTATGTCATCTTGGTTGCTCATTTGTCGCATTCGATCATGCAGTTGACATTTGGAGTGACTAATTCACTACCACAACGTGATATAATTCGTGGGTGCACACAGCTCCTCTTAACTATTTTCACTTCAACGTATCGAATGGCGGAGGAAATATTTGGCGGCCGAAGACATATATCATCATAACTAACACCTTTTTAGCCTCTGAAGGCGTCGTTCTGCCGAAACTTGAGGGAATAAAGTCGTATCACCATTAACGACCTGTATACGGCAAATTTTCGCAAATTTTCGCAAATGGTATTAACGTCTTCCTTAATCATTCCAGGTTTTGATTGGAATTTAAAGACGCAGGTTAAATTTTTATTTGTTCTTAAGTAAAGATTTAATAAGCTGATGTGTTTCATCGATGTTTCTGAACGCGAGTCAGCAAAGCAATGTATCCAATGCAATAATGTGCCAATATGAATGCCAACATGCACAGCCAATTAAAGTAAATATTTGATGGATTAAAGTTGAGATTCTAAAAGAAGTGGAAATAACTGTCTTGCAGTAAACGTGGAGATTGTGATTCTTGAAAGGCGTACATGAATGACTTCCAAACCAGTACGCTCACATGACTCCGCTGGTTTTCCATTGGTCAATGTACAACTTACATTTTCATACTTCTCATATGTCCACTCGTTTATTATAAAAGCTTCGTATCCATATCGAAACCTTAACAAATTTCATTTTTGCATGCTTATTCGAAGACACAGTTTTTTATGCATGCAAATCCAAGTCTTTTGGTCGTGTTTAGTATGTTGATGGAAACCATGCTATCAAAAAAGTGAAAAGTGCATGTATACTATGTGTTTCAAAAAAAATGCGGTCTGTTTTGAATAGTGTCTAAAACACAGAGGGATAAAAAGATTTAGTGCTGCTCGTGTACAATAACATGCAAAGAAAGTTCCTAAGGTGCTTCAATGGATTGGCAACTAGCTTTTGCAACTTGTTCTCTTATTTATCTGAAGATGGCACTCATTTTCAGGCATTTTTAGGCATTATCAAAATGTAAGTTACAAATGCAATTACTATCTGTCAAATTCTGCCCTCGCATTATCAAAATGTAAGTTACAAATGCAATTACTATCTGTCAAATTCTGCCCTCGCATGTATATAACAGTCAGGGTATGTTTGTAGGAGGCAATCTCTGAAGGGACAAATTACAGTTACATATTCTGGTTGAACTTGCTCCAGGAAGATCATTCGACATGTTAATTACGGAAATAAGACCCTTCGAATGGAATTTCTTTTTATAAGGTTATGCTAAGGTATAATCTTATTGTGGCAACAATCGCATATAAGATTCTTGTTCAGCAGGTTAAATTACCCCATTATGCAAAGTCTCGGCAATTCTGACATTCCAACTTCTTGGCATTGGTTCATTTCCGAGGCAGCGTAGGCACATTCGAGTTGTTCGACTTTCTTGTGACGCGGATCACGAGTTTTTTTCAACTTTCATTTTTTTCGTTATGAGCTTAGTGAGTCGACCTCTAGTCACTTTGTCTACAATTTCGGCTTTATGTCCTAATTGATTTGTGCAAAACCTTCTTTTCGAGTTGGAACAGTAGATAATACGAATCTCCAGTTTTTGAAGAATGCTGTTTTTCTATTATGTTTTAATAACAAATTTCAAACAAAGCGCGCAAGTACTTATATAACATACTACTTGATGCTAAAATTTGATTGGTTTTTTAAGTGAAAATTAGTCTGAAAATGCATAACTTATAAGGAAAGACATTTAACATAGCTCGACATTTTGGAAAGAGGTATATAAGGTTGGTTCGAAAGTTCTGTCGCAAAATTTTCAAAAATCATAACTTTCTCCTATCACGATGTTTTTGCATGGCTAAAATTTCGTGAAGAGCAATTCATGCACTTTCAAAAAACATCATGGATGCAAATTAATAAACTCTGATTGCACAGATAAAAGTGGGAAAATAAAATCACTTCAAATTTGGATTTTTGAGGCAAGCCCGTTAAAAATCCCACTGTGCCTTAAATTTCAAAACAGGCAGTAATCTAAGTTTCATGGTCCCCTCTTTCTAGATGAGCAAAATTCATGCTAATCGAGCACTTCTTTAGAAAGTTATGATTTTCGAGAAAAAATGTCAAAAAATCAGTTTCTTAAAAAATCGATTTCTTGATATTTTTTCTCAAAAATCATAACTTTTCAAAAAACAGATTGATCGGCACTAATTACTCAGCCTGAAAGAGGGGATCAAAAAACTTGGGTTACCGGATGTTTTGGATTTTATGGCACAATTTTGGAATTTTCAACGGCTTGCCTCAAAAATCAGAAATTGAAGTAATTTAGTTTTTCCAATTTTATCTCTGCAGTCAGAGCTTATTAGATCGCAGCCAAGATGTTTCTAAGAAGCGCATGAATTGCAAGCTGGCTTCAACTTGAATTTATAGTATGGAGCGAACCGCCGATCGCTCTTCATTACTGTAGGATTACGGTATAAACTTCTAGCATGCGGATCTATTGTAAAATATGCCAATTGACAATTTTTTTTTCGAAAAATCTGACAAATCATGTGCTAGGGTTTTCGTGCATAATGAACCCACCTAACAACTTTTTACGAGTGTTTTCAGATTTTTGATGGCGTAGTCACATTTCTGGCAAATGCTGGAAATCCATTATCACGGTTTAGCTGGGATAACCTTGGAAAGAAGCATCACAGTAAAGTGGGAACTTCATATTTGAAATCAGCGGCTTCCATTACCATAGTATAAGAGTTTTTGGCTTGTTTGGCTTTGTTGCGAGGCAGAATATAGCCTCCAATGGCCTAAAATCTTTGTCGAAGTTCGTACCGTAATCCTACAGTAATGAACAGCGATCGGTGACTCGCTCTATACTGTAAATCTAAGTTGAAGCCAGCTCTACAAAACGGTACCTGAAGTAAGGCAAAAGACTTGTTGGGAAGAAAGATATTAACGACCAAACAGTGCATACATACTTTACGGACACCCTGTATATTTAAATCAGCTTGGAACGCCAATTCTAAATATGCTATTAATGGCTGCGGCACACCATTTCTGAGCGAGTTATGTGCCTTTAAATATGCGAAATTTTCTTACTATTCAACATGGGAAGACTGCCTGTAGGTAAGAATTTGCGCGAAAAAGATGCTGGGATATCGAAGTAACATCGAAGAGAATCTTTTCTCACTGCCAAAAAACTTAAGCCGATGATATTGCCTTGTGCCGTAAGTCGAATAATAGATGAAAATCAATAACTCGCTTAGATTGTTTCTCCTCGGCTACGGATAGCATATCTGGAATTAGAGTTTAAGTTGACTCAGAATATACATATCTCTTGGAAAGGTCGAGCTAAGTTAGGTGTCTAAGTTTGTTAGCTGCCAGCTTAATGCTTCAGAAAGTTCTGCGTTGAATGCATGAAGTCATACATAAGAAAATGTACCAAGTAATTTCTTTACCTTTTGTTAACAAACGTCTACGGAACCGCTCATGGAAAAATGGGTTACTTGGACGAATTCATAACGAAGATAATGCTGCACTACTCACCATGACAAGTACTGCACCCATCTTATCCATCCATCTATCATGGCGGTATTGGTAAAAAGTCCACCAGTCATTGAATAAATCGTTAAAAGTGGACCAGTGATGGTTACTGCTACTGCGTAGGACGGCGATATCTGTGTAATAACTCAGTGTTAAAGAGACTGTGGAGTTGTATCAAAGTGCTCGCGGATGCTGGTCGGTAGATTTAATGACAGTAATTGTTTTGGATTTGTGTTCGCTATCAATGTGTGCAAGTAACCGTTTTTTTTCCGCTGGTAAACAGATGATTTTTTCTTATGTTAGGTAGTTTTGAGTAATTTCGCTTCTTCAAAGAAACGCCACATTCCGCGTCAACGATTCTTGAACGATATTGACGACTTTAGATGCGGTTTATTTTCGTTGCAGCTCAACCAATGAGTCTCAGAAACTAAGAACTACAACCCATGAAATTGTCATGGTCATGTTGCGCTTTTCTATATTTTTGTACCTAAAAATTTGAGCAAGGTGTAATTACATCTATAGGATACAAACATTTTTTCCTTTTATAGCTTGTTTCTCAAAAAATTTTTGAATAAAATTTTCAAAGTTACAAATTCCATGTTCTGTCAACTAAAACCTCATAGTACCAAGCGGAAAGGAACTTGATTAATTTCGTGCAACTTGCTCTCCCCTTATTAACAGATGTTTTTTGTTTTGTAGTAGACTCTCCAGAGATAAAAATAACATAATCCACGATGCATGCGCCTCAGGTTGTAGGAGTCGAGGTTTAATATTTCAATTCCGTGAACGGTCATTTGCTTTGTAAAATTAATATTGAGTCATAATCCGCTTTTGGATGTTGACATTCCGAAGATTTTTGTGGTGTTTGACGCGTTTGTATTTGAGATCGGACTGCCAATATAAAGGCTACTGCATGACGAAGGCGCAATACCTTTGGGCGCAAACGCGGCTTTATTAGCCGCAGAGCGCATGAGACGCAGGATTTACAATAGTGAAGATACGCGCGCGCCGTGCTCGCGCCCGCTCAACTGATACCGGTTCTGCGCCTTCGACATGCAGTAGCCTTTACCATATGCCAATTTCCTTATCAATCCAAAAAATGACTTTGTGGTCCAGAGATTGGAATCTACCTGTCAATGCCCTCAAATTTAAAATGATGCACCTTGGTAATTCTCCGTGCCAGCTTATGAGTATGAAGGGGTCATTTTAGAATCCTGTAGCACTATCAGAAATCTTGGTGTTTTAGTGGACAATCAGTCAAGATTACGCACCATTATGATGCAGTTACTAAGGCACTTTTAAGTCTTCCTTCTTTTACGTATTCTCCACTGTAATGACTCGGCGCTAATAGTAAAACTTTACAAAGAAAACTAACAAACTTCATAGTTCTACCGCATCTAGAATATGCTTCACTGGTGTAGAACCCCTTTTTGCAAAAAGACATTCACAACTGAAAGAGTCCAAAAAATATTTACAAAAATTGTTTTCTATGGCTGTTTTCCCACCCACCCCGACTATTCTCAATCTTTACTCACGTACAGATTGAGGTTGTCCGCTTCGAACTTACGCAGCTTAACAGAGAGTGTTCAATGACTTGGTATTTGCTTTTTGCATAATACGTTCAAAAACAAGATAAGAGCGAGTAATGTTTGAATATATAAAATTGCGGAACTCGTATAGGTTAGCTGAATGTGTGCTAACGCAGATTAGATGACAGAATCCTTTCAATAGCCTTCATTTCTTTTGTATGCCAAACGTCAAGGTGGCCCAGTTTTTTAACAAAAGAGATTACTTCCAGCGAAATCGCCTTGGTTTTTCGCAAGAGAGTGAATCAAATTGATGTTCTACAAACCCTGCATATTACAGATTTTTAGAGCTATTTCAACTGTCTACATCATTACCGCTGATCAAATTGAGCTCAGGCTATAAGTGCATCTTCTTAGTCCTATTCAAGCGATACGTTGCAAAACTGGAGTGTTCTCTCCTTGTTTCTATTAAGTTTTCTGTTGATTCCTTTGCTGTCTTTTATCTGTTCTATGGCTTTTTGTATCCCGGTTTCTGTAGTGCTACCGGTCTCATCTTCAGAAAAGCGTTCGGGAAATTCAAGGTTCGGTGATCATTTCACCTTGAGGTCCCCCTTGTCCATTCGCTCAGGGTCTCTTCGCCTCTTACTAGGGTTGAGTTCATCAACGAAGCCCTGCTGCACTGCTACAAAACCACGTCTGAATAGGGAAAAGGATCTCGGTTGATGGCTTTTCACGTTCTGTAGAAGGAGAAAAACTTGACCATTTATGCAAGAGACATGTCCTTTTCTATATTTTTTTCTGCAAAACCATTTAAGCCAGAAACAGTGTATTTTTTATTTCTCATTTACATTTTTGGCGCACCTATGAGTGTTTGAATAGATAAATAAATAAGAAATTCTATCAAAAAATAATGGCGAGATATGGAAAGAAAAAAAGTGTTTTGCATCCGGCAGGGTCTGCTCTATCCATTTGTAATTTGGGCTTCTTCGGAAGATCCTTATAAAAATTGGGTAAATAGTACAACCATGGCAAAAAGCATGGTTGTGGTTTCCGGGAAACATCTGAGAACTCTTTGGCTAACACAATGGCAACCGAATGACGCACATGGTGTGTCAGGCGGTCGTCATTGACTACCACGTGGGACCGCTTATCACACATGGTATGCCAAAGTTTGTATTTAATAAAATGACGATTATGTAGGGGGCAAATTCACTTCAGCAGATGTCTTTTACGCGCTGGATTTACACATAATCCTCACTATTCTGTTAACCGCAGATTTAGATATAACCTTCACTTATTCTGTAAGCCGCACGTAGGTGGGATGTGCTATGCTTGATTATTGGAATGTTGGCTGATCTATGAAAACTTGATCCCGAAGTGCAGACAACTCATAATTTGCATGGTCGTCAATGTGTAAACTGCATTTAGAAAGTAATCATCTGAAGTAGGATGAAAAACTGCACCAAGCTTTGCCAACATCTTTCATTGATGTTTGTTCCGCGGAATGTGGCGCTTGTTCAAAGAAAGCGATCACTTTCCGAACGACATGATATCAGATTGGTTCATAATGACGCACGTTTTCTACAACTTTTCAACTTCAAATCGAAGTAATTCTTTTTTTTAAACAATCTTTCTGAACGCATCAAAAACTATTGTAAACAGCAAATCTATATATGATATATAACAAATACAATGTATACTGTCTTGAATTCATCCGCTACAGGAAAGATTTTCTGGCCCGAAAATTACCGAGACTTTTTCTGGAAAGCTCTAATTTGAGAAAGCATAACTTACACCCAAAAGTACTAAAATAGAGCAAACTTAGCTTATTGTATAGCTTAGTTTACCTACATAAATCGATAGTTCTGCGATCGCTTTGGTTGGTTGAGTAGTAGTGCGAAATTTAGATTTTACGATAAATTTCTGCGAAAAGATAAAACCAAGAAACTAAAAGTGGCCATTTTTTTGCATCTTACAAGGAAACGATACTTGGTGACCCCATGTGGAATGCGATGTATGCCATAAGGTGCATCTCAAAACGCTAATTCTAAATCTGTGCTCGAAATTTGCGAAACGATCATTTGAAGGCAGTTATGAATCTTTTTTCGTAGAAAATTTGCGTACTTTTAAGTAGTTTAAATCACCCACCGTTTGAAGCTATTGAGGAGAATCTTGAAAGGTGTAGCGTTGTATTTATACCTATCTAAACAATATTCAGCATTTGAAGAGGAAAGAAAAATTTTTATTAATGATTTTCACCCTTTGCCGTAGCGCAATTCATTTTTGAAAAAATAATCATAACTCAATCCAGGTTCTCGTTTCGCAGATATGTAAAACAGTTTTCGAACCAGCATTAAAAGGCGCATTTTTTAATATACAAATCATTATGAATGGCCGGGGTAACCAAGTATCGTTCCCTGCTTAGAGAAAGCAAAAATATGTTTTTTTTGATTACTTTACATTTTTCTTCTCTAAGAAATGAGGAAATCATGCCGTTTTTTATCAATAGAAGTAGTATTAAGCTTAGTTTACCTGCATAAATCGAAAGTTCTGCAATCGCCCTTTACCTAAGCTTTTTACGCAGGTTAGGATACTCTCACCAATTAGCCGAGTTTGAACCAAGGCTTCTCGGCTTAAGGTTTTTGAATTCAGACTCAGTAAGCATTTTGTAGCATAAACCTCCGAGATCATAGTACATATTTTTCGAAACGAATTTGCGCATTTTTCATGGTTTAGGGCAGGTAGGGTGAAAGACAAAAATTTCATATTCTAGTCTCCTATCATTGAAAGCATGAAACTCCAGCTTAAACAAAAAATTCCGAAAACGAAAGCACAAGTAAGGAACTAGAAGAAACAAGCTTTCAGGTAGCACAAGAAGTTCTCAAGAAAACTGTTTTATTTCGGAATCTTGAGTTTGAAAAAAGAGGTTGAAAAAGATGCATTAATCATGAACCAAGCTAATATTAGGTCGTTTCGGACACCACATTTGACGGAACAAAGGTTTCTAAGGGATCTTGGAGGATTCGATCCAGAATTTCATTCTCTTTCTAACTGTTATGAAAATGTTGCAAAATATTCAATGAGCTTTCAGAAAATAACCGAAATCTGCGACCCATGCTTTTTGGGATGGTCAAGTTTCACAATTTTTCAAAACTTTCGTATCAATCCTCAGAACGAGTTCAAGTAATGATTCGATAGAGTAAACCTAATCTGTGTGTATTCTAAGCCCCGCCCCCATCCCTCGACGCTTTCGCGATGCATCCATCAATCATGAAACCGGGAATTCAGTAGAATCAAAAAACTAGTATTCAGCAACTATCTGCTCAATTTCGATTAAGATGCAGATTTAGGGGTTTTCTGAGACGCTCTTCTCAAATATGCTATTGGTTTTGCGCTGTCTTCTCTTACAGAGCCGAAGCTTTAATTTGATGAATTCGACTTTTAGCTTAAGAAATCCCGACAAACAAAAATAAAGCATGTTTTAGAACGCGTGTAAAAGTGCTTTTTCACTGTTTCGGAACGTCTGACAAAATGACTCATTCTTCTAGTGAGAACAACATGCTCTGAGGATGTAACCTTGTTGATAAAAGACTATGAAGGTCGGCTAGTCTATCAAACGATCAATGTGTACAGGACGCTGCACATATTTTTGTGAATTAAATATTTTATCTATATAATTAATGTATTTATGACTATGAGTTAGCTTTATATGACTTACAAAATTTCTCGAAACATGTTCCATTCATATGCCTAATTCTCCTAATGATCACCATCTTTTTTTCGTTACATTAGCTCCATTTTGAGCCTCGCAGCCATCTTTTAGCACATTCTGGCGCTGAGCCAGCTTCGATGTCCTCAGGTATTCAGGTGCCAAGTTTTCTGGCATGTCTTGGTTTTATGCCAAAAAGGTGCAATGTGTGGGCGGGGCTTAGCTTAGCGCTGTATCCTAAGGAGCATCTGGAATCAGCGAGCTCGCTATGCCTAATTATACCCCGCAGACACACACCCATGAGGTGCGAAAATATCTCGGGTAGGTAAGTTCCGTTCCCCAGAATACAGCACTGCTTTTTTCTCCTTTTTCTAGCTCGCCGTAATTTTTTAAAAGATTTTTTAACAAAACCGTCGAATTTTGGCAGGCCTACGTCAGCCACAATCGCATCAAACAACGGTAATTATTCGGAATTTGAAACTTCCAAAATGGTATATGACTTAATACTGATTTTACAATGCAAGTGAGAGCTTATGGATTCAAAATATCAAATTTCGAGTTTTTCGGGTACAGCCTGGGGCTCGCTAAAAAATGAGTTATGATGATTTCTCCCCGAAACTAAACGATTCCGAAACAAAAACGTTTGTTAGAAAGAGGAGAAAGTGCTGAATAGTGAGCGAGCTGCTCTTCTTTTGATGTTCTGCAAGGATTTAGCTGCCCAAGTATGGTAATTGGTAATATCAGTTAAAATTCTGTTAAAATGTATGACAAGCTATGGAAAGGAGAAAAAAGTAGTACTGTATTCTATTAGGTTTACTCTATCGAATCGTTACTTGCACTCCTTCTGAGGATCGTTACGAAAGTTTTAAAAAATTGTGAAACTTGACCATCTCAAAAAGTATGGGTCGCAGATTTTGGATATTTTCTGAGAGCTCATTGACTGTTTTGCAATAATTTCATAACCATTAGGAAGAGAATGAAATTCTGGATCGAATGCTTCTAAGACCTCTGGAAAACCTTTGTTCCGTCAAATGTGGTGCCCGTTTGAAAAAAGCGAAATTACTTTTGAAACGACCTAATATTTTCGAAAACTCAAATTTGTTTCATAAAAAAATGTTTTCACGGAGCCGCCGCCTTCACTCCTCCCTCATTTAATTGGGGTCATGGATGTGCAGAGAAGTTTGGAAGCATCCTCGAAGTAAATTTTTTTGAATCATGGCTGGCGCCACGCTATTTATCGCAACTATCTATTAGGTTGCTTCATAATTAATGCGCGTTTTTCTCACCACTTCTTCCAAAAGCTGGTATTTGATGTGTAGTCAATTCCCTCAGAATCTTTTTACGCTGTCTAAAAGAAGGTTTTTTCTAGTTTCTTATGCGGGCCTTCGCTTTCGTAAATCTCCGTTCATTCCAAAGTTCTGAGCCTACAAATGAAAGAGACTAAATCCCAAAATTTTTGCTTTTCATTCTTTTTGCCCTAAATCAATGAGAAATAGCCGGATTGATTTGAAAAAATATGCATAAGGATTAGAAAACTTCGTGCTACAAGATGCTGTTTGAACAAAATTCTCCATGAATTCTGAGCCGAGAAATTCAATTGCGAACTTGAATGATCGTCGCGGCTCTTCAGTTGCCATATAAAACTTTGAAGCAGAAGGCGATTGCAGGCCTTTTGCACTATCCAGCAATGGTAGACCTAGTTCATTTGATGGTAGAAAAGCGCTAGGGTTTTCTCACATTCCAGCGGAGAAAAATGAAATAATTTCAAAAATGATCGATTTTTGAACCCGCCGAGATGCCAGAAAAAAGTGAGTACTTTCGACTTTTCCGCGATATTTTCTTTTAGAAATTTTCCGTAAAATTCAAACTTGACATTACTGCTCAAGGGATTCTTGGCTACACGAGAGCAAAGTCTGTTTTATCCTACTTTATTTCAACATAAGTTATGCTCTCTCAAAGCAGAGGCTTCTGAAAAAAATTGTTGGCAATCTTCAGGCCAGAAAATCTTTCTTGTAATAGAAACAGTCACGCCAAAGTATCAGTTTTATAGCCACTGATTTGATGGGTACAGTAGTTATTGCCCCCCGGAAATGTCTTTTTGGAAAAGAATGATCTCGGTTGAAAGTTGAAGTATAGAAAACGTGCATTAATTATGAATCAACCTAATATTTAAAGAAAATTTTGGACCACCGGGCTGTATATGTATGTTTGTAATGGTCATGTTCCGAACAAAAAACTTCATTATCGATTCAAATAGCAACCGTCTGAGAAATCATTGATTGTTTTAACTATGCTTCAAAAATATTGCCAATTTTTGGCAAGCAATTTGAGAACAACACGAGCAACTTGAAATTTTGTTACTTTTATCTGTTTTTGCAAACTTCGAGATGAGAAGCTAGAACTTTACAGAAGGGAGCGCACACGTTGACTTTGAAAACATTGTGGGCACAGGAATTTTGATATACGGAAATGTTCTATCATGCTGGCGTTACGATAACGAAGGCAAGTGCGGGATAGCAGTACTATCAAAAGAGACCAAGACAAAAAGATGGTTTATTCCAGCGCAAAAATGATGGCTTTGTATGAACCTCTATGTATAATTATTGAAATGTATTCTAATAAATTACCGAACAAACGGCAACTCCTAAGCTAGCAGCCATTGTTTCAACTAGAGCTCCAGTTATGAGGTTGCGTAGGAAACGACCAAACGTGGGTGCTAGTCCAATCATCCAGTAAGCAACTGTTAACATTAGCGTTCCATCGAGTGAAAATATGGGTATGTAGGAAAACACCTAAACATAACTTCACTTTAAAAAACCATTTGGCATAGGCCAATAACGGTAAATGAAAATTTGCAAGAATCATAATTGTAGAAAACACTTCCACAGCTTGCGGCATTGTGCAATCAAGAAAAGAAGTCAAATCTTGCCCCTCTTCTGTAATTTCTCATTCTGAGTTTAGATCTATTAGTATCATTACTCAAGCCATCCCAATCTTTGTCTATTCCGCTTTTTCACATGCTTAAATATTACATAGTGCGTTTCACGACTTAAGGCACCCCCAAAATGTGGGATTCCCGGGTCTATAGTAGGTATAGAGCATTCTCAGTATATCCCGGATCTACGATTTGATTCAACTGGCTTGGCTCCAGGAAGGCGGGGCTCCGCGACCTAATAAAGCTAACTAGTGATAAGAGAACACTCGCGCGAGAGAGACGCAGGTGCGTCGCGTGAGCAAGCGGCCTTAATTACGAAAGCCCCGCTTCCCAAACCCAAGTCAGTTGAATCGAGGGTTAAATATCCCACAAGGGAACGATCACAACTTATTAAGGTGGCGAATGGGAATGAACCGCAAACCATTAGATGCGTTTTGATGAGCTGATTCCAAATCTGTCTTCCTCATCTGCGACAACGTTATTTGCAGAAAGTTATGAGCGGTTGAAAATGTGAAGTTATCGGGGTTTTAATGCATGATATGCTTTAAAATCCAACTTGGAAGTGCACGACTAGCATGATATTGAGTGTACTGATTCCAGGGAATGCTCAAATTCTAAAGAAACACAGATAAGCGTTTTTGAACAGCTAAAAAGCAACTAAAGTTCTTTGGTAAAAGCTATGAGCAATGAAAAGTCCAAATTTGGCAAATGTACAGCGCAGTATCTCGAAAATTAGTTGTTCAAAAACACTTGTCTGTGTTTCTTTGAAATCTGAGCATTCCCTGGAATCAGTGCATTCAATATCATGCTAGTCGTGCACTTCCAAGTTGGATTTTAAAGCATATTATGCATTAAAACCCCGATAACTTCACATTTTCAACCGCTCATAACTTTTTGCAGATAACGGTGTCGCAGATACGGAAGACAGATTTGGAATCAGCTCATCAAAACGCATCTAATGGTATGCGGTTCATTCCCATTCGCCACCTTAATAAGTTGAGATCGTTCCCTTGTCAGCGAACAAAATGATATCTCAATCAATATTTCGAGTTACTTGCTATTTTACACCTTAAAGCATATCTATTTCTTTACTGTTTACAACTATAAGACACCTTAGAGCAGACAATTTATGACCAATCGAGCCATGGTCCTTTCATCATTTCAAAAAGTCTGTTAGACATCATTTGACACTTTTTCACATAGCTCCGGATCAGTGTTGTTTCATTATAACAAATCTATGCATTCTTTCAAGGTAAGCTACTTTCTTTCTGCATGAAAACTCCATGCAAGTATTCTCTCAAGACTCTGCATAGGAGATAAGACATCATGTGTTGGTTTGCAGAAGCGTTTCATTGCAGAAGCTGCACGAGATGCTAGTGGAGAAAGACAATAATAATTGACCTGCGCGCACTTTCAATGCGTTGTGCCGCTGTACAATATAGCGTAGCCTCCTGCGCTTACGGCGAAAGGACTGTAGTTGGTGTTTCAGTGCTTCTAGCCAATCTGCACCCCAATGTTCTAACTAAAATTCAAGGTATTAAACCACAAATGCCTTCAGACTGAACCCCTACAAATTTTTTTCGCCGAGGTTGCTGGAAAAAATGGGCTATTGTTCTGGCGATAAAGTATAAAAGTTATGTGACGCTTACAAAACCTACTAGTCTGACTTGATATAAAGTCCGTATCATTTTAGCAAAGGAAACCTCTAGCGGGACTCCTCTGTAGTCTAGCGGCTGATTATGTGATTCAAAACTTTAATTTCAGTAGGAATAATATAGCAACTGGCAAAAAGTACGGAAAGGCTGACTGCTGCCCTCCCACCATAAGTGGCGGAGACTGCGCTACATCTCACAGAAGCACAACGGATGTGCATCAGTAGCAGTCAGTCAGTGCTTCTTGCTAATCTTCTCCTTATTTTTTTTGCCGAAAATTGAACTTTTGAACCACCAAAATGCCTTCAGGAAGTATGAAGAAGTTTCCGTTAGAGGTTTCCTCCGTTAAGATAATATGGACTGTTTTCAGATCATGACAGTAGGTCTTCCAAGCATCGCAGCCGTCCGAATTATTTTGAGGCATCGCGTGCAAATTTGCGATGGCCACCTCATCGTATTGCCATAAATGGCGTTTTCATGCACAAACAAGCAGTACGTGATTAAGGAAAAAAACGTATAGATTCGTTGTAGACGCTTGGGACGACACTGATTTGGAGTCACGTGAAAATTCATTTGGTTTGAAGCATGTCCAAAAAGTTTCATGAAATGATGGAAGAGTGGCCTAATGCCTGTCCTAATTATTTTGAAGTTAAAGAACCTTCTTGGATGTATCCAGATGCTGCTTTGCGCACGCCAGCATTGCATCAGCAAACTTGTTTTGAAGTGCTTCTCCCTTGCCTTTTTAACAAAGACTTGCTTAACCACAACAGTTCAATCTATTTCACCGTGTTGTATCTTATCTTTGCATGCATACTTATTCTAGATCTGGGAGCCCGGCTATCTCTTTTCAGCATTCTTCAATGCTCGTCAAGTTTGGGACCGCCTATTTTGCTTATAACGCAGTCTTTTTGGTAATCATGGCTTGTGTCCCACCGTTTTTCGATTAGGGTGATAATGCGGTATGATAGCGAAGCTTCTAGCTTAGCTGCCCTAGTTGCGACGCGAGAAGATCGCTCTGAAAATTGCCTGCCAATCTGTCCGTCTCGCCCACCAATGCGGCTAGTATGAACCTAGCGACTGAAATAAGGTCCAGACAGATGTAATCGTTGATCACGAATTATGCCGGATGTACTGCATGAGCTGCAGCCGTCCGTATGCGGTATTGGACGGCGGTAAGTAGTAACTTTTGACCGTTTCTAACATTTATTGCAGATCCTGCTCTTTTTCGTTTCATTCTTATACCACGCTTCCTTTTGTGGTGGGGAAAGTTGCAAACTTGGTGCAGGGTCTGAGAATGAGCACACTATTTTTTTGTGCGTGTTACGTAAAATCTTTTTTAAATTGAAACCGCCATTCTTGTATGTTGCTCCACATCTGCAGCAGTATGGTTTGTAGAAAAAAAATGGGGCTAACGCCCTGAAACCCACGATCTTCGTAATTGTAACAAATGTATTAGTCTTGTTTTGGGACCGCTGGTTTTGCCGAAAACGCACCGACTTTTTGAAATACAGAAAGGGTTTCCTACAAAAAATATATGAAGGAAAACAGGCGCGCAGAGAACAGTTCTCACGCAAGACACGGTGAGAAGAGCGTTCATTCAACCTCGAACTTTAAGACTTTCCGCAGGAGGAAGCGAGGTGCAAGGTTGAGATAAAAACGAGCAAAGTCTTTAAGTACCCACGAAAACGGCTGAAAATTGGTATTTACTTCCTGCCGCATGATACGACATGCGTGCGGCTGCAGCGCGTGCAGCACAGTTCCAGCGCTGTCCTGGAACTATGCCGAAGTTTCCGATTTACCTAGTATAAACGCCTTAGAATACCACGTTGATGGGAGGAATGGACGGTCGGCTGGTAAATTTTGAAGCAATTTTTTTCCCTTCGGAGTACAAATTTTTTGATGCGGTTTGGACAATTACTTGCTTCAAGCTTTGCTTTTGTATCACATCAAAATGTTACCTCCTTGCTCAATAGTCATCGCCTTTGCTAAAAAACCCGTCCTTACAAAGTAAGTTCTAGTGAGTAAGTTCTAAACGTTCTCGCATCCTCACACATTTCTTCATATTCTTAGATTTAGATCTGCATGCTTGAACATCCCTGCGGTGGAGTGAGCGCCACCCTCCTTTTTGAAACTGTCACGGGCGAATACGCCTCTGCGGCTTCTTCCTCATTGATGACGCCGCTCCTCCCGCCGCAAGGTTGTTCATGCATGCGATCTCAGCTATTTTGCAGCTTGTTCTGGAATATAAATAGCCATCGCAAAGTTCTTCCCGTACATCATTATGGCCATAATATACAGGGTGTCCCAAAAAATATGCACAATGTTTGATTGTTGATAACTCTCTTGTTTTCATGTCTTTTGCCGATTGAGGTACCATTCTGTAGAGCGAGGATAAACTTGGACTTACAGTATTGAAGGACTTACCAGCCGCTTTCTTTTCATTACTGTTGGATTACGGTAGGAACTTTGAGGAGGATTTTAAGCAATGGAAAGCTGTATTTTGCCTCAGAAAAAAGCCAAATATGCCAGAAGCTCTTAAGCTGGGTTAATTGCAGTCGCTGATTCTGAATATGAAAACTGCACGTCTGTACACTGTTTCTTTCATGAGTTATTTCAGATTTGGAGTAACAACTGATTTTCCAACGTTCAGCAGAAATGTGAATACGCCATCAAAAAAGCTCGAAAAACTGATGGAAAGTTATGTAGTGGAATCAGCACGCCTGAAAATTGCTACACAATTTTTTGGATTTTTTAAGATTATTTCATCAAAAGGCTTATTCCACAGTGATGTTATATGCTGAAAGTTCATACCGTAATCCTACAGTAGCAGAAAGAGATTGGAGTTTCGCTTATATTCTAAATCTAAGCTTATCCTCGCTCTACAGAATGGTACCTCAAGCTCGGCAAAAGACATGAAAGCAAGAGAGTTATTAACGATCAAACAGTGTGCACATCTTTTTGGGACACTAGGTTGGCACGAAAGTTCGTTTGCATCATTTTCAAAAATTCATAACTCTATAAATTCTCAACAAATTTGTACGATCAAAATTTTGCTTAAGAGAGGAGGTGTCTGAATTGTTCGTCAATGTTCACAAATAACGGAGATAGCAGCTCAAAACCAAAATCACTCAAAATTTGAATTTTTCGTTTGGGGTCATAAAAAATCGGAAACTTGCAGCAAAAATCGGAGCAGTCGGTATTGTAGGTTCTTTTACCAGCTTTTTCTAACTGTGCAAAGTTTGCGCTGATTGAGCGTCTCTATAAAAAGTCAGGATTTTCGAGCAAGCAATACAAGAGAGCGATTTGATTAATTTTGGCATTTTTCAGGAAAATCGTAACTTTCCATAGAGATGCTCAATCAGCGCAAACTTTGCACTGTTAGAAAAAGCTGGTGAAATGACCTACAATACCGACTGCTCCGATTTTTGTTGCAAGTTTTCGATTTTTTACGACCCTACACGAAAAATTCAAATTTTGAGTGATTTTGGTTCTAAACTTCTATCTCCGTCATTTGTGAACACTAACGAATAAATCAGATAGAGTGCAAAGAGCATGAGTTCCTCTCTTAAGCCAAATTTTGATCATACAAATTCGTTGAGAATTTATAGAGTTATAAATTTTTGAAAATGGTGCGAACGAACTTTCGTGCCAACCAATAGAATGTCCCAAAAGTACACATTTTCTGATCATAAGTAACCCCTCTTTGACAATGCTTTTGATTAGCTTCAAGAATAGCGCAGTACTAATCAGTAAAGCAATTTTCAATTGAGGCATGTTTCAACATAGATTAACAGTATGGAGCGTAGCTTCAAAAAGTAACATATTATCTATATATATATAAAACTCAAAATTGTGAGTTTGGAGGCTATGTGCGCTATAGAAACGCGCACCGCTCAACCGATTCCGCTGAAACTTTGCACACACACGTTTTCGACCCCTGCGCAGATGATAGGCTACTTTTTGCGGCGATTTGTTGGGTCCTTCTATGGATTTATTGTTTACGCTTTTCTAAGGAACTGAAGGCTTATCATGTTGAATCAAGCATTTTCCCATAATCGTGAAAGGAGGGCGGTGAAGCTCATTTTCACCAAAGGATCACGAGGACGCGGTTTGAAGCGAATGTCCCAGGGTAAGTCATCCATAATATATAGGGGGGGGGGGGGGGAGGCTTGCAGTGCAGGTGAACGGAACAAGGCCCGGGCTGGACCGGGGGAAGCCAACTAGTAAATATGATTACTAAGGATTGGTAAAGAGTCAGAAACAACTATGAGAGTTAAACAATTCTACAAAATATGACCAGATATAGCGGAAAGGGTGGCAAACAACGCATAATTTCACCAGACCTGGACGTCCCAATCACATCAACGTTACTAAGTAAAAGAGCGATTATTAACGTGAAATATGTATGGATGAGAGAGTAATGTAAAAGCCTGCTTTTTCATGATGACGGAGGAAAAACAAATTTTAGACGATAAAAATTTGCAAATTTCAAACATTTTGCAATTGTCAAAGACTGTCTTTATAGTGTAGTACCACAAATAAGAAATTTTTTTTGCAGTCGTTCTGCTGCATTATAACCCAGTTCTAAAAAAAGATAGATTTGAGCGGTCAAAATCAAGAATTCTCTTGTAAAATTGGCAACTTTGGTAATGTAAGGCACAAAAAGCGCACAGCCTAATTTTTCACAAGCATATGGAACTCTTCGAATCCATCCATTTTGAGAAAAGCACGTTAAAAAAGAATCTTTGGACTCACCTAAACGATTATTAACAATTTTTATCTATTGCCTTGCATCAATTGTTGAGAATAGCCGTAGCGGCCTACAGAACTTGGTGTTACACTAAAATCACTCAAAGCAACGTATAACCGTAGCGGCCAAGATGAGTTTGGTAATACGTTGATATCAGTCGCAGCGTCCGAGCCAGTATTGCGATAACGGGAAGGTTGCAATAATATACATCCCTATAGAGCTTTCGCCCAAGTGACATTCAAACATTTCTCTTTCGAAACTAGAAAATCGCTTTAGAAGCATTGAAATGGACATCCTCTAGTGGGCACGCCTCTCAGGCCAGCACATCCACCAATTTCAGACAGCAAGCTAAAGTGAGCATACTTTAATTTATTTATTTATTTATTACGCACAAGGCGTGCCATAACTAGAATAAAATATTAGGTCGTTTTAAAAGTAATTTTGCTTTATTCAAACGGGGGCCACATCTGATAGGACAAAGGTTTCTAAGAGATCTTGGAAGCATTCGATGCAGCATTTCATTCTCTTTCTAACGGTTATGAAACTGTTGCAAAATAGTCAATGAGCTCTCAGAAAATAACCAAAATCTGCGACCCATGCTTTTTGAGATTGTCAAGTTTCACGATTTTTCAAAACTTTCACAATCCTCAGAAGGAGCTCAAGTAACATTTCGATAAAGTAAACCTTATAGAGTACAGAACTACTTTCTCGTAGCTCGCCGTAATTTTTTAAAAGATTTTTTAACAGAACCATAATTTGGCAGGCCCACCTCAGCTACAATCGATCAAACAATAATTTTTCGGAATTTGAGACTACCGAAATGGTACTATGAGTTAGCATTAATTTTACAAAGCAAGTAAGGGTTTACGGGTTCGAAATATCAAATTTCGAGTTTTTCGGGTAAGCCTGGGCTCGCTAAAAATGAGTATGATGATTTCTCCCCGAAACTAAACGATTCCGAAACAAAAACACCTGTTAGAAAGAGGAGAAGGTGCTGAATAGTGCGCGAGCTGCTCTTCTTTTGATGTTCTACGAGGATTTAGCTGCTCAAGTATGGAAATCGGTAGCATCAGTTATGATTCTGCTGAAATGTATGACAAGCTATGGGAAGAAGAAAAAAGTAGTTTTGCATTCTGTAGAGTTTGCTCTATAAAGGTGTTTCTTGCCCTTTTTCGGAGGGTTGATATAAAAGTTCTAAAAATTGTGAAACTTGACTGTCTCAAAAAGCATAGGTCGCAGATTTGGGTTATTTTCTGAAACCTCATTGACTGTTTTGCAACAATTTCATAATTTAGAAAGAGAATGAAATGTTGCATCGAATGCTTCCAAAATCTCTTAGAAACCTTTGTTCCATTAGATGTGGCGCCCGAAAAGCGAAATTACTTTTGAAACGACCTAGTATTAACACGTTGACGACGGTGTCGCGCAATGGTGCGCGACAGGCAGTCTGTCCCTGTGGACGATGTCGCGCAATGGTGCGCGACACCCTAAACATCAGTTTTAATGTGCACAATGGTTCCAATTTGTGTTCATATAATCAAGTTAGGCTCGAAAGCATTTCATGTTGGCCCCGCCCCTTTTTTGACAAACTCCGCCCACTCCATTGCTCTCTATAAAAAACTTTCTTCGTTCTCAAATCGCATAGAAAAGCTCATAGACGACAGGGGAACCTTAAATAATTTTAATTTTGACCCCGCACCCCGTAATGCAGGCTCCACCCCCTCAGTGACAAGCTCCGCCCACTTTTCAAAAATGCCGGAATTTGTACGAATTCGTTGATTTTGAGCAATTTCCAGCATTTTTGAGAAGTAGGCGGGGCTTGCCAAAAGTGGGCGGAGCTGCCCCGCCCACTTGCATTTGTGTATCTCACGCATAGATGCATGCATATATATGTGCAGCCGGCTGTGAAAATGCCCGGAAACGGTTCGTTCACAGGGACAGACCTTCAAAAAATGGCTCGTCGTCAGCGTGTTAAGATCATAACCAGAAACAAATACAGAGAACAAAACAAAATAACAGCCGATAAGTTAGCCCAAGTCCAGTCACCAAATAGTTCTGAAGAAAACAGGGAATTAAGCTTGTATGAACTAGGTATGAAATAATCACCAAAATATTGGCGTAATGACTCAATGGAGTTTGTCCCATGCCCCCTGCTTGCCCGAGGCGGTCTTTACTATTCAGTATAAGCAAACTGGAAATAGGGGAAGCGGTATATATGGAGATGCCGCACAACCAGTTCCTAAGGAGGAGCAGAGCTGCGATAGTGGAGAATGGACTGCATAATGCAAAAAGTTGATCGAGCCTAACAAGCTATTTCCAGGTAAAAACGAAAGGAGGTGCACCGAACATAACCGAACATGTGGACAAAGTATAAATTTGATCAAATACCAACATCAGAAGACTTTAGCTGAAGTCAATTAGCTCTAATTCCTTCGGTTCCACGATCAAATACAGCCAAGGAGAAATAGTAACAAACAAAGATTTTAGTCAATTTATACAGCCAAGCAACGATAGGTTAGTCTATGCATGATCAAACTCTACTCAAAAAGCAAGTTTAGCACAGCAGAAGGCATTGCTCCATGCTGTAGCAACCATTGATTGTCAAAACCGCCCAGCTAAAACCCAGCCCAAATCTGTCAATCGCACCATGATACTAGATAGATTAAGTTAGAAAAATATTCACCGCATGTCAACACGTTCATGACCTTCTAAACTAAAGGCTAGGTCACTTGTTCAAGACAAGTGACTATAAGGTCGCTGTTCTTGAGCATCTGGGCATAGCTGAAAATGATTCATGGCTCAACTGCTTCAAAGCAAACCGCCGTTATTTATAAGCAATCAAGCCGCAAAAATCTTTGCAGTTTGCATATGGCACATAGCTATTATCATACTGGCACATAGCTATTATCATATTTTGACATTTTCACGCTCTCCAAGCTGCATCTTTTGATTGAGTGAGAAGAATAATCTTACTAAACGAAAAATCCTCTTAAAGTTATTGAGATGCTGGCGTGCGACGGGCTTTTCAATCTAACTCGTAGTTGATATTTGGAGTCCATAGATACCAAACCTCAGCCAAAGAAGCGTCAACGAGGGACATTGTACGGACCCTTTAAGTATTTGCACGACTCTCGCTGCAGGGACTTCCAAGACGAACTGATATGTCTATTTCTCCAACCATAAGTAACTGTCCTACCCTACAAATTCTTCTGAAAATGGCACTTCCTTCTTACTATCGTAGCTTATTAATGACAAATGTGCTTTTATTTCTCAAACCTAGTGGATGCAACAAACAAGTTAACTTTTTTTCGCATTCCATGTCTACTGATATAATAATAGTCACTTACCTTAGCCACATAATACGCTAGCACTGGGTAACTTCCATCATGATATTCTCTCACGACCAGAGGAAATTCACTCGGCATGTATGTCTGGATACCGTAGATAGTTGGATAAGAGAGTTCTGAGCAAAAAAAGAACAGTATGCCTTTCAAGTTGGAGACACCATCCTGAAAACAGTGTATGTTTGCAACAGAAACAGATCAAAAATCTTTATACATATTATCCGCTCTCAGATTTGTGTCGAGATAGTGATTATGTTCCTAGAGCGGAGCGAATAGCCACCATAAGCTCTGCTTGGTTGTGATAGTAGAATCGGCTGCTGACGTTGCTCACGCAATACGTCAATATGTAAAAATTTATCACATTTTTTTCTCTTGACCGCTCATTAAGTGCTAGCTTTCAACATTCAAGATATCCTGCGATGGTTGATTCCATTTATTTAAGCAGTCCCAATCTTCATGTATAGGTTCCATTTAAAAAGATCAACAACAGTTTCTATTGAGCTCTCTACCTATGTCTTGCTCTTTATTTGTAGCTCCACTTTATCCCCAAAACAAATTCAATCAGACAAGGGGGAGACGGCCTTTCGCACCGCTAGCCATAGCATTATTGCACGCCTCTGATCGGTCCTCGTTGCCGCTATTGTGTAGCGAGAGAGTTAGGCTTCGTTAGAGACGCAAACGTTCTAAATTGGGCGAGTTAGGCAAAAGCACACTCCCAAAGAGAAGAATTACATGAAACTCAAAGATATTACACATGGATAGATAAATTTTTAGGCTGCACTTCATTTTACGTTGTTTGGAGAACTAGGCAAAGGGAAGAAATTATGAAATAGAGTGGCAAAAAGTTTAAGCTTCTTAAAGTCCTCTTAGTTCAATCTTTGTCATATTATACGAAAATGTGCACTGGTTTTTGCTTTGGAATATTCAGAAATATTTGAGAGCTCTGCTAGGTTATAGGAAAAGCAGAGTAATTAGCGCTAAGACGGAGCGCTGCAATAGGGCATACACCATAAATTAGGAACTACAAAGTGACGAAATGGAATTTTTCCATTTAAGCTGACAATTGGTGTGGGCGAGCACTGGCCCTAAATTTATTTGTACGGCCGGACATTAACGTGCACGGGCCGGGCGGAAGATGGACATCTATATTGAGTCAAAGACGTGCCGCTGCATGAGTTCAAGAGCCACGGCTCGGTCAGTGTATTTTATACATTGAAGCAAATTCCGCTTGTCGGCCTCTATCCGGTCCCAACAGCGGCTGACTCGAAGCCCTCCATCTTCACCACAGCAATATCTTTCGATTGGCCGACGCCACGAGTCGGCCACAGCGGTAAATTGGCTGCAGCTCGCCAGCTTTGAGTATTTGAGTAGGTTAGAACAAATAGAAATAAGGCTACCTGGTTTGGCTTTGTTTGAAAGTACAGTGATCCTAAGAATAATGCCATAAACGCTTTCTGTACAAACTTCGCTCGCATCACCGATTTATTTCGAATGTTGTCTTTGACGTGCCTAAGGAGACAGGAATGTCATTTTGTGTTTTGAATGAGAATATGAAAGTATTTATGGTCACCTAATAAAAAGTCCAGAAAGAAGTTTCCAAAAGTTTGGCCTTTGATATGGTCGTAGTGTGCGCTTCTGTTTTCCAGCGTCTATTTGAATAAGCATTCTGTCTGCATATTTCGAAAGGATAAACTGAAAGAGCGAATAAGCTTGAAGTGCATTCTTGTTGCCAATCTTTACTCAAAGTTTTACGCGGTTGCTGAAGGAGAGTACGCACTTGAGTGGCATGCGAACAAAATCGAAGTCTACTTCTTCAGACAACGTTTCTAATGTCACGTAGTAAATTGTATTATGCAGATAGTTGCGAAGAATGCTAAGAATTTAATTTAGTGAGAAAAATCCTTTTAAACACAAAAAAACTATAATTTATAATTTCTCCAGAAAAGGGATTTTTACGCTAACTCCGAGAATGGCAACATATAGGCCCGTAGTAAAGCTCGATCAGTTGAGGTGAACTCAACTTATCCCATCAGTTCACCTTAGGTGAGGTGAACTGATCACCGTCCACGTTCCCATGCTATAAGATGGTCAAGTCAACTGATAGTTGACCATCTGTCCATCTGCCGCAGTCAACTCTTCCACATCAGTTCACGTTCAAGTCACCTCAACGTGAACGGATGTCAGAGTGATCCAAATAGTGTGTAGAAGAGGAGACGCAGACAAGAGGTGACTGCATCTAACATAAGTTGCTCCTGAGTAACTTACGATACACACAACTTTGCCAAAAAATGCAGAAAAAATCGGCGCAAAACTGCACAATACCGGCGCCCGAAAAGGGAAGGATCGATGAACAGCTGATTTTGGCGACAAAAGCAAGGATAAAAGTTTTCTTCTTTTTTTTGCAGAGCAATCTTAGTTTCTTGTAAAAACTACTTTAGAAGAGAATCTACTTATTTTTTATGTTTTATTTATGTTCCAAAAATTTCATGAATTCTCCGTCAAAATATGTCAGTTTTGTTTTATCTGTCCATTTGCTAAGTGATATCCTTGTTAGCGGTCATCATCGATTTTTTTCGACAGTGCCGCTATCAAAGATTGTCCGGCGATGCAGCAAAAGTTGTGGCGCTAGCCGGTGTCGAACCACGACCGCGCGCGTGTGATTCCAATCGCTTATCCGTTTGACCAGACCATCTCAAGTGGTTGGTTTTTTGAGAACACATGTGGTTATCATGTCTAGGAAGCGATCCACATCCAAATCAATAGCTCACTGGATGCTGGACTGAAGCGCGATGACCTCAACTCCGGTCCGCGTCGAGAGAGATGCCCGGATGGGGGGTTTACTACGGGCCATAGAGTGACTGCTTTGGTACTTCACTCGCGTAATAACGGGACATTGTGAATGTACGGCTATCAATAACTATTAGTCGTATACGTCATTAGCGGCGGAGCAGAGGAAAGGGTTTAATATTGTGCGACTTGTTTTTACTTGTGAAAAATTATTTGGTGAGCATGGCTAAGTTATGGCCCTTTATTCCAAAAAAACTCGTTTCCCCTTTAGGGCGAATTTTTTTGGACCCTCAGTGCTGCTATGCATCGTAGAGTCATTTGCATTGACGCGCAAACCTGCGCGCAATGCGGCAAGCATTTTTAGCCTTTTTTAGCAAAACAAATTTTAGGAATATGTAGTACTTCATACACATCCAACCTGACCGAATGAGAAAAAATTACGAGGGATCCTAGAAAATTGAGAATCCATTCTTGAGTCTTACAAGGGAAGGATACTTGGTCGAAGTGAAATTCCCATATGAAATGTACAATCACGTACGGAGTATAAAACGCTGATTCCAAATCTTCTTTCCTTATCTGCAAAGTGCTTCTGAGAGGGGAGTTTTGGAAATTTTTTGTGGCAAAAATTCAACGACTAAGCTAGGGTAAAAACAGGTGTCAGATCTTTCCGGCGCTCAAAAAGAGTATTGACTGACATGAGTTTGTAAGACTTAAAGTAATTATTGCGTAAAACGCCATGGTAGTGATCGTGGCCCCATTTGAGCTCATAGACTGCAGTTCTGAATGATTTTATTGTATTTGCGAGTTCGATTTTTTGCTTCAAGAAATTCATATAACATCCCCCCAGAAGCGCTTTGCAGATAAGGAAAGCAGAATCGGAATCAGCGCTTCATGCTCTAAAATGTGTACATTTCATATTGAAACGCCACTTCTACCAAGTGTTCTTCCCTTGTTAGAACTCATTAGATGCGCAATACGCCTATCAACTTTGAATGACTCGGCGGTACGTTTCTAACCGCTCTATAGCTGAGAGAGAACCTTAGCAGAAATACGCCGCACCTCCGCCTAAGAGAAGTCATACCATATTCAGAACTTCGTGTTAAGTCCAGCAGGAGATCCTCTCACAAAAAGTTGTGAAATCTGCTGGTTTTGCTCTACTGCCAGTCTTGCCCTGGCTTTCGGGATTATCCCGATGCCAAAATTATTGGTGTTTGAGCGAATGTGGCTAACGTAGGGCTGACAAAATCTGATGGTTTTAGTGAATATCTTTTAGAAAATTTCTGCGAGCTATGAAAAAGAGAAATAAAATCGTGCTATACCCTTTAAGAGTTGCTCTATCAAATCTTTACTTGGACTTCTTCGGGGTAGTTGATATACAAGCTTAGAAATATGAAGCTTGACCATCTCAAAAGCACGGGTCGCAAATTTCGTTATTTTGCGATAGCTCATTGACTGCGCTGCAACGATTTCATAACCACTGAAAAGAGGATGAAGATTTCAAAATTTTTTTTTAGAAATTTTCCTTTTACGAAATGTGGCGTTCATTCAAAGAAAGCGATATTACTTTTGAAACAACCTAATATTATTTAACATTCACCTGTTCAATTTTTTTGGCTTTCAAATATCTTCAATACCTTTTAAGCTTCAAAATTTGAATTCTATTCGATATTTGTTAAGATCGATGAAAAATTGATTTCCTAGGTACAGTCCCCCTTCATCCAGATTTGCCCTCATGTTGCCTTCGAGTGCTCTTCGAAACGGCATCAGTTTCATTCTTATAGGCTACTTGAGAAAAAATACTTTTCTTATCAGAAAAGATATTGTGATGGTGACCATTTGCATTCTGTCTACTCTATACAATAGACACATCCAACTTTGAGCATGAAATGTACTTTTTATCCTACTATTATGTCATACACATCGAAAGCAAGAGCTAGGAAGAAAATAACAGACGACAAACGAGTACATATGATCCCCTTGCTGAGCAAAATGTCCTTGTTGTTTATTCCAATTCCAAAAAACTGTGTGACGAGAGCCCGTTATCTTCGAAATGTGCACAAAGAAAGGTAATCTGTGGTGCTCTAAGATGTAAATAAAATTTTTGGTCTAGCTCCCAATTTTTGGTACACCCAATTTGAACCGTGAAGAATTTTTTTGTTACTCTATGCGTGAGAGATCTTTGAATAACCAAATTTGATCGCATGCTCATTGCAATTGCACAAAGACTTCGTTCAGACTGTATCACATTGTGAACATACAAAATTGTGGCGTCGATTTCCAAAAATATTGCGGGTGGAAGACGTTTGGTAGCTTATACGTGTGAAAGTTTCTAGTAGCTACGGAGTACGAAAAGTAATGCTTTTCAGTCGAAGTTTATCACGTTTTTGACCTGTTCAAATTCTGCAGAATATGCGCCCACTGTACTCGTGGAAGGCTATCTATTGTTTGTCCCCCCAAAAGATGTCTTATATCTGCTAAAGTTGAACTATTTGAAAGGGAGAAAGACAGCAAGCGGACGTGGTAATTATGGGAACATTATCGCAAGGCACACCATATGTCTTGGATTTTTTGGGGAGGCTACTCAGCGCTACCTGAGAGCATGAATGCATGAAAAATTAGAAGTGGCATTTTTGTTTGTTCAACATGCTCAACATGTGCATCAGCAAAAAACGTATATAGTCGTCCTCCCCCCATTAGACACCTAATGGACGAATTCGAATTTAAGCTGGAGCACGCCTGTTGCGGCAGAGCGCGGCACCTGCAGCTCTCACTTCATTCTTAACGAATCTTCAACAATTTTTTGTGTTTTCGTGACGTTTCAACCTAATGTTTGAATGCGGACAGTTATCTCAGTTCGTATTGAAAATGTTGCTTTTATTTAAGCGGTGGATCGTGCTGCTATGCTTGCCGTTATGGCTACAATTCCAAGTTGAGCTTGGAAAAACGACTAAGTTTAAAAACCGGTGAAATTTTTCTCCGTAAGCTTGAAGTGTTGCGTCATTTTGAATACTTCATGTCAAAAATCCTCCATAAGCAGTTTTCCATTTTTTTTTCTGAAACCAGAGTAAAGAAACGAGCGTAGTAGTACGAAACATCGCTAAGCAACAAAAAATCTTTCAATTCTTATTACAGTCATCACGAAAACAAAAAAATCACAATGCAACGACAATAAAACACAAAAGAAAACTGCATTAGCTTCAAATGCATTTGACGGTGCCGCGCTCTGCCGCCACCAGCGTGCTCTGGTACAAATTCGAATTCGTCCACTAAGGCCCGTATGCACGTACATCCCCGCGGGGAGGGGAGGGGATCTGAGAGGGGAAGCGTCATATCTCGCTAGTCTACATATCTTTCTCCTTCTTTCTCTATCTTGCTTATGAAGTTTCTCATACACTGATACCTGCGCATAATAGATGCCAGGTTACTGCTATACAAGATTAAATATTCACTATTTCTTCCGATCCCCTGGGGATCCCCAGGGGATCATCTCACATTTTCAAAGTCGTTTATCTTCCTGAAAAATGAATGAAAACGCTGCAAAATTGTACTGAAGATATACTGCGATACTGCTGAGCATGTTTTCGACAGAAGTAATTGAATCTGATGATTTTGATTTTTTCGATAATCCCTGGCTCGCGAGCAGCGGTTCATCGAAGATTTTGATATCTTGAGATTCCACTCATTTCTACCATAAATATGTTTAGCAGTGCTGTAGTATATCCACAGTACATTTTTAGAGCATTTTCATCGAGTTTTCAGGAAGATAAATAACTTTGAAAATGTGAGGTGATCCCCTGGGGATCCCCAGGGGATCAGACGAAATAGTGAATATCTAATCTTGTATGGCAGTAACCTGGCATCCGTTATGCGCAAGTATCAGTGTATGAGAACCTTCAAAACCAAGA